TACTTGGCAGGATCTTGAGGTACTGGAGTCTGTCAACCAGGCATTACACCCCCTGCAAGACTTTACAGATGCCCTGTCTGGTGAGAGTTGCGTTAGTGTTTCATGTGTAAAACCGGTCCTTCATCTGATGAAGACGTCGGTGCTTGCAGAGAAGTAAGAAGACAGTGATTTGACAAAATGAATTAAGAAGAAAATCCTTGACTACCTGATTACTAAATATGAAAATCCAGAAACCCAGGAACTTCTGGACATGGCGTGCTTCATGGATCCCAGATTTAAAGTCAGCTACATCAGCACTGACCGACTCTCAGACATCAAGACCAGAGTGATGTCAGAAATGGAAGCAGTGGCAGAGAAGGTATTCATGCATGCTTATATATAAAACCTTTCAATTCATATTTAGTCCAAAATGTTTACTTTTCCTGTATTCTGCTCTCTGTTCCAGGAGAGAAGCTCCGCTGAACCAGAGGCCCAGACAAATGATCCACCCAATCCTCCCCTGAAGAAGGCAAAAAGGTCACTGGGCAGTTTCTTCAAGGCATCTCCAATCCCTACCTCCTCTTTTATGCATGTTTCATAAGCTGTTGAAGCTGAGCTTAGCAGCCACTTGCTATCAACAGCCATAGACAGTAAGGAAGACCTCTTGGCATGGTGGAAACTCCACCAAATTACATTCCCACAGGTAACCAAGCTTGCAAGGAAGTATCTCTGCATACTTGCAAGTAGCTCACCTTCAGAGAGACTTTTTTAGCACATCAGGAAACATAGTAACATGTCAGCGCACATGTTTAAAACCTTGGAAAGTTAACATGTTGGTTTTTCTTACCAAGAACTTGCCATAAAAAACATCCACTCAGGAAGGATGAATGCAAGATAAAGAAACCATTTTTTTTCCCCAAAAAAGTACAAACATACACTACCTACATTGTTCTTAATTGTTGATAATATTAGTCTTGGCCAGTACTACCACAAAGGTAGACAATTGTTCTTTGGTGTGTTTCCACAGCAAACAAGTTCTTACCTATAGCTTAATCTAGTAAAGTTTCCTCTCCAGTTTTGACTTACATCATAACTACTTGGTGAGTGGTAAAATGATGAACAACTACATTGAGATAATTTGCAGTATAATTTAAGTTATGTTTATTTAAAACTAATTATAGACACCGGAAAGTATATCTTTCAGAATTCAAGCCTCAGAAAATTTTTTATGGGGGCAATGTTTCAATGCTAAAGTGCACTTTGTTGTTACACTGCTAATACAGCAGCTTTCTTTAAATAAAACTGTTGTTAAAACGGAAATTATATATTTGTTTGTTTTTTTGCTATTTATTTTATCGCAAGTCATATTGTTATCACAATATTGATCACAGTAATCGCACATTGCAGGTTTTCCTAATATCGTGCATCCCTACACACAACCATATCCGCTGCTGTTTAAATGCAAACTTTATTACCTTTTAAAAACATCCATTTGTGTTGTTGCATTTCTCAAGTGTAATCTACATTTTAATGTTAAAGCCTCTAACACAACAAGAAATACCCGTTAATAATGTGATATATTGCTGAATATAGCAATGTATTACATTTGCTGTGGAGGGATATTTAACTTAGTAATAAGCACAAATATTTAGTACAAGTAAAATTACTATGAGCAAGAGTTATGAACCAGACAAACATGTTTTTTGTGCAGAAGAGTTTACATAATTATAGGAGTGCAAAAAAGTTCTTCTAAATAAGCTAAACATTCCATTGTTAGTATGTCATTCTCCTTTACTATTTACTTGATGCATTCTTGGTGCTGTAGAAGTATACTCTTTGCACGTCATCCACAGCATCTGAAGGGAAAAGGAGGTAAAGGAATTAGGTAGGCAATGTTTGTACAATACTTGCACACATGCATTTACATGATGTACTGTAAGCCCAGCCAGACCGGCAGATGATGTTGAGGTGCTTTCCACAGAATTGGTCCTGCCAGATGAAGTGTTCTCTACCTTTTACCATACAGAACCCCATAAAGGACAATTAGGATAAGGGGATGAACGTTTTTAAAGTGGTAGGTAATTTCAAGTGCAATGTTTTTACAGCTCTACAAATATCAGCAGACTTTACTGTATGTGCATTTTGTTGCACAGTGTGTCGCTAGTTAATTGTGCAGCTGCTGTATTTCACAGGAAGATTAAAGAATGAAAGCCAACTTCACTCAGAGAGGGAAAACGATCGGAAAGACAGGCCAGGAGAGGGCGATTAGAATTTTTATTTAACGTAAGGTGGTGTTTGATAAACTGGAAACCCAAAGCTATTTTTAAATATTTTGAAACATCCTGCAAAACAAACAAAGGTATAATGACTTTGTCTTATTTAACGTTTGCATGAAAAACCTCACTGTTTAGTGCAGGATAAACAAATCCCTTTTCTGTACTGTGATGGATTTAAAATAAAGAAAGGTGTGTTGGACTGATGTTCATGGTCAGTGGTAGGTTATATTAACAGTAGTAAAGATTAATATGACTTCATACACTGAATTCCACCTTCACACCAGCATTATACGGTCTAGTATAACAATAATATGAACCATATACAGTCAGTGTAGAGGATGGAAATCAACTGAGACAACTGAAAAATCAGTTTTTCCTCTCATTTTACTGATTCAAGGTGAATTCATTCATTACAACTACAACCTAGACTTTTAAAATATTTTATATTCTCATGATTATAATTGTATTACAGTAATATAGCACAAGTTTCAGTTACTTTTGCAAAAAAATAGCTGATAGAAACGTCATCAAGAGCTACTTTTTTAAATTTAAATATATTTAAGAGCCTCTACTTTCTCACTTTTAATTTAGTAAAGAAGTTGATTCAATACTTCAACTTTTACCAATCGTATATTTTAAAACAAGTACCTGTACTTCTACTTAAGTACAGATTGTACTTTTCCAACCTCTGGTCCTGAAGTACTCAGTGTTGTTTTGTCTCCTTTTCATTTTCTCTTTTTTTGGTGTGTGTGTGTGACTCGTTTTACTTTCTGTTCCTTTGTTTCCATTATGAATGTCTGCTCTGCCCCTATTGTCTTCAGCTGTCATTTTTTCCACCTGTGTGTCACTCTTTTCATTATCTCAGATAGCTCTCATTGTATTTATAGAACTGTCTTATCAAGATGTCTTTTACTTGTCATTTATCCTCCATACACATCTTCGAATGAACCTCTTAATTTGTCACTTTAAAACCCATGTTGAACAACAGTCTCACGTCAGGCAAGAAGGACAAGTATAACCAGGTGAATCGCTACTGAGCCTCACCTAACCGTTTGGGTGTGTTAATAGTTGCTAATCAAACACAGCACCTTCAGTTTCCCTGAAACTAGAGGATTTTGCCATACCCAATGCTACATAACACTGAGACTTGATCACTTGCAATTCCGTCCTCTGTTGAACTGTGCAATAATTGTGCCTTATTCACACTGTTAGGCTATATATTTATAATTTCGAGGATTTCACTAATAAGAGAAGGTTAATGTGCTTGCAAAAACAAAAACACTCCTTATATATGTTATTTTGTATTACTGTTTTGATTGTTCAGTTCTGAATTTCCCAATCCTAATCAACAATTCATCACTGCGGTCTTTAGAATAATAAAAAAAGAACTTTATAACTAAATATGGACAGGGAGTGCAGAATTATTAGGCAAATGAGTATTTTGTCCACATCATCCTGTTCATGTATGTTGTCTTACTCCAAGCTGTACACTGAAAAAAAAAGTTCTTTCAATTTACATGATTTTATTGTGTACATCGGTCCCACATAATATGAATAAGTATGACTGACTTAATTTTCCACTTTCCCTCAAGTAATTAAAGCTTGCCAAATCAAAGTATTTTATTTACATCAGATTACTTTAAAAAATCATGTTTGATGTACTAATATTAATCTGTTATCATAATATCAATGTATTGCATAATGTCAATATATTTTAATGTTTAACACCAACTTATTTTTATTTGCAAGTGGTACGCAATGATATTATGTAATGTAAACACATTGCAATTATGTTCCTGCAACACAAATTATGGCTTTAAATCCTACTTAATTTTTTCAATTGAAATATTAACTGATCATTATTGACAAAAAAGGCAAAGACTGTGAGTGCTACTGAACAGTTCACCTTTATTAAACTGTAACAGCAGTGAAAGCAGCAATTCTGCCATGAACAAGTCCAAAAATCACATCCATATAAACTTGTTAACACATTTTTAAAGATAGCCTGCAGAAATAACTAAAAGAAAAAGTTAGTTTGAGAATATATTTGCAAATATTTCACAAAAAACTGACCTTAGCAGCAAATAAAAGAAAGTGCTTATAGATGATCCTGTCATCTCTTACATATAACATTTGTATTAATTACACAATTGAAAATGTAAACTAAATTAAGACTACCTGAAAAAAAGCAACACGCTTTTATGAATAAACAGATTTACACAAATATAACTTGTGTGTTATTTGACAACAGTTTCAGCTTCTGTACAAGTATTTACCTGTACAAGATTTCAACTAAGTTGAGCCTTAAATGACATTGTTACATAACTAATACCAAACACCTACATGAATTTTAATATTCATTTTAAACATGTAAGCAGGACATTAAGGTTGACTTAGAACATATTGCTAAAAATCGTCAGTAAAAATTTCTTACAACATGATACCAAAAGGAAAAATCATCCTGCATTGCAGTCACATGAGGGGAAAGCAATAAAAACATAAGCAGTATAACATTACTGAACACAAAATGAAAAACTGCAAAGAATTGCAGAAGTGCAGTCTTTGACTTCTCAATGAAACAGATGGTTTTTGAAAGCAAGAACTTTAGAGAGTTTAGCTCCATCCAGTTCCATGAAAACCTTCTGGAAAACGTCAAAGTTGTAGCGAAGGTCCGCAGGGTAGGCAAGGTTTAATGCATACATTAAATGCATACATTAAACCTTGGATAATGTAGCAAATGCTACATTATCCAAAGTCTTCGCCACCCTGATGCCTGCAAGGACAACTCTTGTTCATCTGCTGAAGCTTGCTCTTTAAGAAGATAAATTCAAACAGTGGTGTCTTCAACAGTCTCACTGATGGCACGTTCTTCCATGCCCTGTAAAAAAGAAGCCATGTTAGTCATTTCATGCCAAGTAACCCCCTTCTTCCTCTCGCCAGTGAGAAGGAAGCAACCCGGTAGGCGCATCGGCGCCCCCTGCCAGCCGTCATCCTTCACCTGCCCGTCTCCCAAACTCTCTCATATGATTGTCCAGTTGACTGCACATATTAATCAAAGCGCTAAGGGGTTTAGGTAGCTCTTTTGTAGCTAACTCACATTTGAGTTCTTCGTTTAGGCAGTTCAGGAAGGCTCCCCGGAGTGCGTTTTCTGCCCAGCCTGTCTCCTCGGCCAGGATCCAAAAGTCAATGGAGAAATCTGTGACACTCTTACGTCCCTGCTTTAGGGTAAACAAACGATTAGCAGCGCCATCTGCATCTGTTCCTTTATCAAACACACAGCGGAACTTGGTCAGAAAATCTTGGTAGGAGATATTCGGTTGAACATTTAAAACGGCTTGTGCCCATTGCAGCACCCGGCCAGTCATTAATTCCACCATAAGCGTGATCTTCGCACAATCTGAGCTCGTAAGCCTGTGTCTGTTGTCTGAAAATTAATGAACACTGCATCAGAAAGCCTCGACTCTTTGTTATATCTCCATCAAACTTCTCCGGAACCGGTAATGTATGTTCTCGCCTAGGTGGAGGTGGTGGAGGCGAAGGGGGTAGTGGGCAAGCTGCAGCCACACTTACTGATGGAGTGGGTTGTGGATTCTTAGCTGAGGTGCCAGGAGCAGTGAGTAACATACCTTGAATGTTTGCAAGCACCTGTCGCATGCCGTTTGTTCCGTCATGATGTGTTTCATCATGCTCTCATGGTGGTCCAAAACTTTCGCCCTGAACAGAGAGCTCTCGCTGAACTGGGTTTGAGTCCACTGAGTCCATGGCTGGCTGGAGTATTCTGTCACGGTTGTTAAAGAGTGGACTCAGGCGCGGAGCTCAGAAATAATGACAGTGCATTTATTTACAGTGCAGCAAGGTGACAACAGTTCAAATGTGCAACAATGGTGATAGTGCGTCCCTCCTTCCGTGTAAGCCCGTGCGTGGTAGTGAGTGCCCGTCTCTCCTCCAAGTGCTTCCTTAGTGTCCGTAAATCCTCCGTCAATCCCTGGGTGAACACACACACACGACAGCAGAATGAGTACGAAGATCAGACAGCACTTCAATAACGTTAGCGACTCGAAAACACTACCAGGCTTAGTGCAATACTCCAGCGCTGTCTGTCGCTCAGCCACACCATTAAGTAGCCCTGCTGAAGATGGTAGTTGATTGGCAGCAGCTGGTGGATTGACTGCAGGTGTGGCAGCTCCGGGCGACAGCACTTCCGGGTCGGAGGTAGCCTGTTGCTAGGTTACCTCCTAACACATCACAGCGGAGCCGGAGGGGAAGACAGGGCGATAGAAGAGACACATACACACGCACACAGATATACACACACTG